CGCGTCGGCTGGCTCCTGGTTCCGTCCGCCGTCCCCCCACTGCCCGCTTCTCCCGATCCCCTTCCGAGGTAGGTAAGACCTCTGACTAACCTCTTGGTTTGGTTGCTCACCAGTAACTACCACCTCCGGACGGGGTCACCGAGAATCGGTCGACGGAATCGACACAGCCTTTCACTGGTAGTGGTCGGCTCCTGTTTCTTCCGTTGGGTTCGTGACCGTATCGTACGCGAGCATGCTAGCTAGCTTCAGATCTTGTTCACGCCACCAAGCCTCGGGTTCTGTTTTGGTTTGTGCCGATCGAGATGAACAGACCGCTCTACTGTGGCAACACTGCTGCTGGCCCGGGACGTAGAGCTTTCCTGGCTACAGGCTACAGCACTGCTGCCTTGTGAATTTAATCTACCTACCTATTTATATGCATCCTTGTTAACTGGAGTAAGTACTGTACTTATTTAGCATACAAAAGGAATGGATCCTACAAGTTACACAACCTAATAGTAACCCCTTTTGTTTTGGCTGACCATATGTTGTTTCTTGCAGTTTAGTTGGCTGGCTGGCTGGCTGGCATGGCTGCTGAATCCCAGACCGAGACTGGCAACTGCAGTGCCTGGGCGGCAAAAGATCCTTCTGGAATACTCTCCCCACACAGTTTCAACCGTAGGTAATAAATAATAAACCACGCGCTAACACTCCCTCAGCTGTAGCAAACGAGTGATCCTTCTGGAATAAGAGTATGTATGCAGTTGACACAAGCTCCCATAAAAAAAGGCTTTAATAATGCAGTTATTGGTGTTATGTACGTATTTGCAATTCTTTTTTCTCTGTGCTTTGAATAACTTGTCTTTGTTCTCTGAATAAATATAGACTTGTATGTGCATACTAGCCCAGTTATTCATCGCTGTAAATTATGAATAGAGATCTTGCAGGCGCCGAGTGAATAGCTGCTTTGTTAGATCCTCTGCTTTCTTAGCTTGTTAATTTCTTCTTAGAACTACTAAGTAGTTCTTATGCATACTTGCTACCCTGATTGATTACCAGGACTGTACGACATGACGATGTCTCTTTGAGGATCACGCATTGTGGTGTCTGTTACGCCGATGTTATCTGGACAAAAAATAGGCACAATGACTCGGTGTACCCTTTAGTCCCTGGGTAAGCTTTTCAGATCATCGTATTTATTTACTTGAATTGTTTTTGTATCAATCCGTTCATTGACCCCATCTAGTTGCTAGCATTTTGTACCAACAAATAATGGTTTATGTGCTAAGTTGGGTGCCCACGATTCAATATGTTACAGGCATGAAATTGCTGGAGTTGTAACTGAGGTTGGTTCAGATGTCAAGGGCTTCAAACTGGGCGACCATGTGGCTGTCGGGACATATGTCAACTCATGCCGTGACTGTGACAACTGCAATAGCTTCCTCGAGAACCACTGCTCAAAGTTTGTTTTCACTTTCAATGGTGTCGATACGGACGGTGCTGTCACAAAGGGAGGATATTCCACTCACATTGTAGTTCATGAACGGTATGGATGCATTCTCTTCTGGATGTTCTGAATTTGGTGTAGGTTGTCTTTGGACAATCGTCGTGGCAATTCTTTTTTGCCTCCAGTAAAAACCCACGTTTCTCGTATAAGAATATTGCATTTACTGTTAATTCATGTCAGGTACTGCTATAAAATACCTGATGGCTATCCATTGGAAAAGGCAGCACCTTTGGTTTGTGCTGGGATCACTGTGTATACTCCGATGACGCGACATAACATGAACCAGCCGGGAAAGTCACTGGGTGTCATTGGTCTTGGTGGGTTGGGTCACATGGCAGTGAAATTTGGGAAAGCCTTTGGCCTGAAGGTGACTGTTCTTAGTACAAGTGAATCGAAAAGAGATGAAGCAATCAGCGTTCTTGGTGCAGATAATTTTGTGGTGTCATCAGATAAAAAACAGATGGAGGTACTGAACTCTTTAATCTCTTTTATAAAGCTGAGTGCGAAACAACAAATAACAGACCACAACAAGCACATATCTCCTTACCTTATGTTAGATTCCAGTTGAACTAGCATTAAGCCATTAAATGCACAAAGGAACGGAGCTCGGTAAACCCTACAGTCTAGAACCTAGTAACCTACTTCATATTTCAAAGGAGTACAGTTAAACTGAAACAGGCATGTCCTCAGTTAGTGTGCTTAAATAATTGTTTAAATGCTTCCAGTATCAAACAGTTTCTTATCAACCTACTCCACTATTTCTCCCTGCTGCTGTTCCCAGAAAAAGTGGAATGCTCATTCAGGAGACACTTGCGACATATGAAATGGTCCAACATATTCCGCGACTAGGATTGACGCCACACTTCGCAACACAATTCTGCTCTTCTTTTGTTCGAAGGGTCTCTTGTTTTTTTCGAAGGATCTCATCTTTTCGTGTTTACTGGAGAATATTTTTCACTGACACAAAATACTACTCCCTCCGTTCCAAATTACTCGTCGTAGAAATGGATGTATCTAAAACTAAAATACATCTAGATACATCCATATCTGCGACAAGTAATTCAGAACGGAGGGAGTATTAATTTTGGTTTTTTTATTTATTACATGTACAATGGGTAACTTATAGCATATGCAGAGTGACTAAGTTATTTGTGACGTTGTTCTAACATCATTTGATTGCAGAATGTCTCTTGCACAAGATGAAGTAATATAGCTGAATTCTGCTTGTTATTCTTCTCGCACTGCTTATAGTAAGTGAGAATAACGAAATGATTCATTTCTGCAGTCCCTGAAAAATTCTTTGGACTTCATTGTCGATACTGCCTCTGGTGACCACCCATTTGACCCTTATCTCGCACTTCTGAAAGTTGGTGGCGTAATGGCGCTAGTTGGCTTTCCTGGAGAAATCAGAGTGCATCCTGCAACACTTAATCTGGGTAAACACTAGCTGTTGAGTGAAAAGTATATTTTTTTTTACCTTTTATGGTTGTATGAGACTGTATGCCTTAAAACAGGCCACTAGCTGTTGGTTTCATGGCTCAAAACTTGCCGACGGAATGTGGATATATAAGCATTCGAACGTTGTTGCTGGTGTTTTGGTGTTATGAAACTGGGTTTCGGCCTTTTATCGAAAGATAACTAATCAGAACTTACTGCAGGTGCACGGACTTTGTCTGGTAGTGTGACTGGAGGCACGAAGGACACCCAGGAGATGATGAACTTCTGCGCGGCAAACAAAATCTACCCAGAGATTGAGGTTATAAAGATAGACTACGTCAACGAGGCCCTTGAGAGGCTTGTCAACCGGGATGTGAGGTACCGGTTTGTAATCGACATAGAGGGCTCTTTCAAGTAATACGCTCGCGGCTGGCACATTTTGAATCCTTATAAAAGCATGTGGAATAAGTTGAATCTTGTGGGAATGGAGGGCTTTCTTCTGTAATGTTCTGGTATATTTTCCTGTCCATGCAATCTTGTGGTATATTGGGGACAGCACAGCAGCACAAGTGGAAGGGCAGCTCTTTAGAAGGGAGAGACTTAACTTGCCCTTCAAATTTCATCACATCCAAATTACTTTGAAAACCGGAAACCCGTTGGTGCGAAAATATTTTTTGAAATGCCAAAAAAATTCCAAGTGTTCTTCATCACATCCAAATGCTACATACAAGTTTGTAGGCAAAAAGGTTAAACATTTTAGCCATGCAAAAAAAAAAAACACCAAATGTCACCCTAAATTTGTTTTTTTTCACCGGCGAAACACCGCTGCTCTGTACAAATTGCAACATTTTGTTTCCATGTAGGTCATGATATTGAATTTCTGTATTTTGTTCCTATCTATCTATTCGGTTTTAATTTCCCTTTATAACAAACACGACGACAACTGGCACCTAAAAGGAGTCCGTGCTAGCAACAGCTACCAGTCTTCAATGCCTCAATGGTGTGGCTGGCCCTGATTCCTGCAGCATATAGTTCCCGATTCCTGCAGCATGGTTATGCCAGGATCCTAACTGAACCTAACACTGTCAAGATGAAATGAACACTTCATCAGATAACAGACGTCCAGGATGAATATCTTCAGATCCTAACTGAACCTAACATTCTTCACCTGTATCCCGGACTGATCCCCAAAACCAGGGATGAAATCCCACAGGAATCGGGCGCAACACCTACGGATCCTCACGAGGTACCCCACAACGAGATATACCCACGTTATGTGTTTATATCATATAACCTAGAGTTGTCTGTTTTTTACTTATTCTGCATGCTTTCCTATTTCAGAGACTTTTGCATCAAAGAAACTATAAATATCTTCAGATCAGCGACACACTTGCCCTTGCATCCTCCAAGCAGTACAGAATGAATAGTTGTGGAATGAGAGACTATATAGCATAATAAATATTGTAATGTTTATCCCCTCGGAGCGGAGAAAAAAAGAATGTAATGTTTATGCTCTACCAAAAATTTCTTAATCTGAATTCCAACCTTATGAGTATTTTACATGTTGGCAACCTGGTAATTATGTGTTGGATCACTCACCTTACTTAAATGGACACAAGCTCAAAAAGTTTAACACTCACCTATTAAGCATTTGGAACTTGACACATGATTACATACATAAACATAAAGGCAAAATGTGGTACTCTGCTCAAAAAGTAAGATGCCTGCTATACTTCCCATGGATAAGAATGGTTGATCTATGCCAAAACAAATACCACTCCGTAACAAAATGTAAGATGTTTTTACATTTTGGTACACAGTGAGTAACAAAATGTAAGTACCCACTCAGGAAAAAAGTACCAGTTCCACTAACACAATGGCCCCTCGAACAAGGAACATGCTTCAGCCAATTCACGTTACAAGGCTTGTGTTTACGGTGCGACACCTTTCCAAAGTTCCACTGGAACCAGAACCATCATAACCTAAAACCGGCTCAAGTTCCGCGGATCAGCTACCCAGGTGCGTACTGTGAATCCAGCGACTACTATTTAGTCCTATTTACAGACCCAAAAAAGCGTCAAAGGCCTGCGTATTTCAGTCTCATCAAAGCCACTTCATCCTTCATCGCCTGACAGTATTTTTCTGCAGCTTCTACTTCCTTCTCCAGGCTGGCTAGATCGATTCCTTCGCTCGGCTGATCACGCACAGATGCACTACGAGCTTGCTTTTTCCCCTCCAAGTGCCTCTGCATTGTTAGTACATTGTGTTTCAGATTACTCAGATGGCTTGAGAGTGACTTAACATCTTTTGGTTCTTGCTCTTTGGTCCGGGCATCCTCGAGCCTTGCCCTGGAATCCTCAAGCCTTCTAAGCCGGGCCTGTGGCTCCCTCAGACGGGCAATGAGATGCTTCACGTTGAACCCATTTCTTTCCAGTTGCCGAGCTTTTCTCATCAAATATGCAAACTCCAAAGCGTCTGTATCACAGGATGTCTTGAGCACCTCCCTAGCCAAGCCAACCAACATGAACCACAGTCCACTACAGGCCAGATCTCGTATAGTGTCACTGGTGTTGACCAACCCTCTGTAATGTGGTCTCTGGGGAATGAACTCAAAGAACCGAGGGTACTCCCTCATGGCTGCTTCAGCATAAGGGTCAATATTGCTCTTCTTCGGCGTCTCTTTCTTTCCTTCACCTCCATCATCTTCATCTTCATCTTCATCAGAGCTTTCCTCCCGTTGTGAGAAAAGCCCACAGCGCACAAACTCTTGTAGCACCAGGACAAGTTGCCTGTCCTCATCTTCCTGATCATCATCGAGGTTTATCACTTCACATGTTGGTTCAAGAACAATGCATTCATCGTCACTCTCAGGCTGTGGCAGCTCATCACATCTATTAATGTAACAATTAGGATCCTTTTGGAGACCATGGTACTTCTGGCCGTCAAATTGCAAGGAATTCTTCTCAGGATAACTGGCAAGGGAAGGCCCGTCATCATATTGCTGGAGACATTCATGGCACTCGCTGGCAAGTACCTTACTTTTCTTGTGCGTATCACCATTTTCAGAGAGTTCATCTCGCCTTTTTCTGTTCCCATTCTTTCTTTCCAACGCGGTTGCACTGGAGTCCATATCACATGGACTACTACGGTCTAGGACAATCACCTCTGTTTTGTTCCCCTGAGCTAGCTGCTGCCCTTCTCCGATGCGTTTTCTGTTATCTTGCATTGTACTTTCTCCAGATTTACCAGCTGCTGTATCTGCATTCATTGGAGATGAGCCAGCGCCGTTTTCGTCGACTGGCCTAACACACCGGTCAGCTTCCTGGTGCGTCACAAACTCGCCATTCAACCACGCAACATATTCCTTGCTGGCAACGCCGCGTCTGCAGATGCCAGGTATCCACACCTTGATCCCCTTGGAATCAAACCCATGTACAAGAGGAAAAGGCACATCCTGATCATAACCGAGCTGCCTCGCGACAATGTGGGGATTGTACATTGCCGAACTATCCAAATCATCGCCATACGATCCAGTCAACACGGCTTGCCTGATAATTGCAATGTAATCCTCCAACCACTCTGGCTGATCCTTACCTCTGGAGCTCACCAGGAGAGTTTCCTTGCTGAACCACTCAGGTTCAGTCCAGTCGAGCGAATTGCGCAGGTAAGGCCTCCACTCGAAACAATCCTCTTGCTGCAGAACACGCAAAGCCTCCTCCTCTGTGGTCTTCCTCCTCCTCCGGGACCAATAGAGCGCCCGGGCATTGGAGAGAGGGAACTCCGGCGCCTTCAGCTCCGGCGGCTGCAGGCGGTCGTAGCGCTCCCACAGCCAGACCTGCAGCAGCCAGAGCGGCGCCCAGACGTCGACGCGGCCACTCGCCCCCTCCTCCACCCCGGTGGTGACAATCCTGTCCATCTCGGCGTAGAGATTGGCCACCACCGCCGGCCCGAGCGCGACGCGCTCCCCGAGGCTGATCCGCGCGGCGAGCGCGAAGACGCGCTCCGGCAGCTCGGCGCCCTTGGAGCGCAGGCGCGGGGCGACGAAGAAGGCGAGCCAGTAGGCGAGGAAGCCGAGGCGGCGCAGCTCGTCGTCCTCGCCGGGGCGGATCCTGCTCTCGAACCACTCGAGCCAGACCTCGGCGGAGACGCGGCGGGCCTTGCGGGCGCACGGGTGGAGCGCCCGGATCTTCTCCTTCTCGACGACGAGGCGGGCGCGGATGTCCTGCTCGGTCGGGGTGAGGGGCCGGTCGAGCGGGGCGCCGGAGGGGGGCAGGCCGGCGAGGATCAGCGCGTCCTCGAGGGAGAAGGTGGCGGGGCCGGCGGGGAGGCGGAAGGCGTGGGAGCCCGGGTGCCAGAGCGAGAGCAGCGCGGACAGGGCGTGCCGGTCGGGGACCACGGCGGCGGTGGATGCCGCAACGGCGTCGTGCACGCCCGCGGCGCGGAGGACGGGCGCGGAGCCGGGGTCGGCGAGGG